TTGAAGTGAAGTGTTAGCCTACTTCCCACTGCAGCTGTTCACAGGCCAGAGCTAAATCCAATGCACAGCAGAAGCATGCACTGACCACCACCACCTTGCTACTTCACACAGACTCCAGTAGGGGAATCCTTCTGGTGAGCTGTCACTCATGCCCACAGGCTGTCAAATGCACGTCCTTGAGAGAGGGCTGCAAGGGTCTTGTTTGCAACAAAATGGTGTTCCAGATATTTAGCCCATTTCAAAAGCCTTCTGTCAGTAACCGGGTCAGTTGACACCTATTCTCCAAAGGTTAAGACCACCAATTTCTTGCTAAAGTGCCTGGTCTTTCCCAGATTAAAAAGAACATACAAAGGCCTCACTTAGGACAAATTTCTTTCCAGAGTCATCAAAAGTTCACTAATGAACAATGAGGGGAAAGGCAGGACTTGGGGTAGTGGAAAAATTTAAAAAAAAAAAAAGACAGGGAAAAAAAAAGTACTACATCCTTGGGAGCTATAAGGTGTGAGAAATGAGTTACCATTTAATGAAACTCTGGTGAGAAGATACTGCTTCTGCAAGGACACAGAAGAACCTAAGTGCACAAGGACCTCAACTCAAGAGGAGCTCAGGTTTTTACCCATTTCCATTGCTGGGAACAGAGCACCTTATCCCTGCTATGCTGATTTCCAACAAAGTATGGAAACAACTATGGCTACCTCTCATTTATTGAGAGAGCACAGACAGGGAGCAGTTACTGTGGAAAAAATGACCTGCCAAGACTTGTCCCTCTAGCCTCATCGTCAGGAGGCTATGAACTACTGTTATCTCTTCTCCCCCGTGCAGCAAACAACATTCGCTATGGCAGCCAGCACTCACCAGGACAGGGGAAGAAAGGTTATTGCTCCACAACCTTCCACAAAAAACTCTTTTTCCCCACAACCCCAAGATTCTACGAAACCCTCTCAGATTCACGTAAATATGCATTAAGAAATCTACTTGAAAGTATGCTCGTGTTGAAATCTGTCTATGACTTCTTTGTTTAAAGTTTACCAGTGTTTTACCAAGGCTGTTTGCAGCAGTAGTAGAATTATGCTAATATAGCTCCTGAAATGTGAAATAAAACCCCAAACTATTTAAGGCTGCTTTTATTAGTATCAATAGGATGATGTCTACACATTATTTTCTGTATAAAAAGGAGACTGTTTCTTACTAGCTGTCAATGAATTTCTCCAGCAATGGCTGGCTCCTCTAATAGATAAACACATTCATCACAGCAGAGATGCACCCAGCAAGCTTCTCCTCCGGCTGAACAAGTAAGACCAACCTGAAAAAATGCTTGCCTGCAACACAAGTGTCACTGCTAGGAACACCACTCCACATGTTTACCTCAAACCCCTCCTTTGCCTTTGGTATGAAAGCGTTCAGGAAAATTTATCCTTTACTAAGTGCTGTGAACTAGTCACGACTACCATTCACAAGATTTAAGCCACCTAACCCTGGGTACATTGCTAGTCCACCAGAGAAGACTGATCTTGGGCCATGCTGAGACCAAGACCCCTAAGACTGCTGAAGACATCTCATGTTTTATTGAATGAATTTAGTACCTTACGTTTTAAGCTAGCAACTTATTTTAATAAAAGTTTGTTTACATTTCAAGTGAAAACAAACACTGATAAAGTTCTCTTCCTCTCAGAGAAATTAGTCTATGGTTTGACACTGATCTCAAACTAGATGAAATAACATCTGCAATGACTCTACAGATTTCTACAACTCACTGACAAAAACTGCTCAAGCAGTAAACAGAAAACAATTAATATTTAATCCTTATTTCAAAATAAATTTTTGAAGTTGTTTAACAAAAATAAACAATTCTGTACTTAAAATAATAAAGCTACAACTGTCCTTCGTTTGTGAACCCTACAGTATAATCTATAACCAACTAATTCTTCATTGGGCTGTGAGCCTAGCTGCAGACCTCTAAATAAAAAGAATTAAGACAAAGTCTGGTATAACGCCAGCATCCCAAGAGATCTGCTGAGCTAGACTCAATTTTATCATAAAAGTCTTCATCATAGTGATTCAGTGCCAAAAAAAGAGGAAGTTACCATGCCTCTGCAGATGATTCCAGAAGAGATTATAGTGTGGTTGCTACAGCGGAAAGTAAATATGTAATTAACAATTTGTACAAAACCTGGGCAGACAAATATGTGATATTTTGGGATTAAACATATCAGAGATTTTGATTTTACTGTTTTGAATACACATCAAATATTGCTACAGATAAGAAAGGAAAATGACAAGAAGTTCAAAAAACCCACTAAAGTAAATATTTACTTTTGGGAGGGGAAAACAAATAAAAATAAAAAAAAAGCCATTCTAAAGTAGCTGTTCCAGAGCATCCACAACAGTATCTGTACCCATGACTGTGGAAAGGGCTCTGTTTTCTCCCTACATAAAAAACAACTGAGAATTGATCAGTACTTCTCTTATATAAATTAAGAAAAAAAAAATTCAGGTTTCCATTGATTCTTTTTAAGACAGAGCAAGAGGAGCTAGAAGGAGTTTTATTAGTCCAGCAGTGAATGTTTCGAACAAACAAGGCTTTATTATGAATTGGGTATTAATAGTTCACTTCCAGAATAGAGGTGGCAGAAAGAATGAATGAATTTTAACACGGGGATACCACACTAACTCTTTTTTCCTTTAAAAGCAGTCAGAACACATTGTTCTGCTTTTCAGAACAAGCCACTCTAGTGCAAAGCTGATCCTATTAATATTGGGTTTCATGACACAGCCCACTGAGACGAACTAAATTAACACCTTGGCCTCATATGAGCATTATGTTACCTGTGGGTTAGTAGGAATGCAGAAATAAGGTAATAATTAGATGTGGCCTTCACTAATAAAACTATATTCATCTTCTAGTACCAGATTTTGAGATAAAGGCATAGTTTCATGATAGCAGAAGTAGGGGAAGGCACCAAAAAAAAAATAGTTGAACATGTCTAACCATAAACTAGAAGTGTCTTGTTTTGTTTTAGGTAATATCCACGTAGCACATAATTTTGGTCATCCGGTATATTTTGAATGTATTTTTACTTCCCTCACTTTTAAGTCCGGATGGCTGACAGCATCTAAATAGCTGCTCT